TTTGTTGAATGCATGAGCCGATGACTAAAATTCTTCTAGTTTAAAAAAATTAACAAAAAAGTTAAAATATCTTGCTTCTCTAAGATCCCATATCTAAGTCTGCCTTATTACTATAAGAATCTGAAGCCGGGCGCGGTGGCTCACGCCTGTAATCGCAGCACTTTGGGAGGCCGAGGCGGGTGGATCACGAGGTCAAGAGATCAAGACCATCCTGGTCAACATGGTGAAACCCCGACTCCACTAAATATACAAAAAATTAGCTGGGCATGGTGGTGCGTGCCTGTAATCCCAGCTACTCAGGAGAACTGCCTGAACCCAGGAGGTGGAGGTTGCGGTGAGCTGAGATCACACCATTGCACTCCAGCCTGGGTAACAAGAGCAAAACTCCGTCTCGGAAAAAAAAAAAAAAAAAAAAAAAAAGAATCTGAGGAGACTTCTTTAGAAAATCCTTCTGTCGCAAACCTAAACTTCAAACCCTAAGAAGCAGGCCTTCTCTCTCCCATATGGAAGTATAACAGATTTGAAGGTAGAGGGCTGACCTCTAGTTCTGAATTCTTATCTCATCATTTGTATCTTGCCAAAATAAATCTTAAAAACATCACATTTTAAAAGTATAAATCAAAAATACTACTCAGATATTCCTTAAGAGTTATTGCACGTCTTCTCCAAGGGTCGGCCCTGCAAACTCTCTTTGATGTTAGCCAGGCCTTCAGTGAAGTTAGACAATTCTCTCATTCTTCCCCAGCTGATTTCTTATTCCACCCACAGAGGCAACTGGTCCAAACCCCTGAAGTCTCCTGAAGTTTCCTAACCAGTCTACCACCTTTATTTCCTGCAGAGGTCCTCACCTCCTGCCTTACTTAGAAAACAGAGACTATAGAACATGGACAGACTAAACACACCTCTGTTTTACCTAGAGATGAAAGCCTGAGAATCCCTGCTCTACAGTGACCAAATAATGACGCAAACAGAATCAAAAAGCCGACTGATGAGGTCGTCACTGGATCTTTCCCAGGCATCTCGCCAGAAGATCCTCTTTACTTCTGTCTCTCACTGCCTGTTACTGAGTTGCCCTAAGTCTATCAAAAGGCCACGCAACCAGAATGATCCCTGCAAGAAATTCTGCCTGAACGCAAGCTCCGCCTTCTCAAAACACCTTCTTTCAGGAATTTGCACCCTCTGTTGCCAGGGCCCAAGAAGTATGGCTTAAATGGCTGTTCTTTGAGGTACATCAGACACAGCCCTTAGATAAAGGCCATGGCTAGAAAGCCAAAAGCAAAGCTCTTTGCATCCTGGGAGGCGTCCCACACCCACTGACTGAATTCTGAAGTGTCTTTGTACAGATAAGGCCATCCAGGGGCCTTGACAGAATCTGTGAATCACAAAGTGCCTTTCAGCTTCCCATTGGCTCAGCAGTACAGAGAGGCCACAGATCCATCTTAAACTGACACACAATATATAATTAATAAACTGTTCCTTAAGGAATGGAGGGCATTTACCCAAAAGAGTCACACATTCAGAAGTCTCCTTAATTCCATGGTCTTTTTTTCTCAGACTGAGATTCACAGACATTCTGTCATTCGCAGGCTTCCATGATGACAGGCAGGTAAGAGCTGGGCAGGCTGCCTTCCCTTGCTCAATTTTTAACATTAGAGAGGTAGTGGCTGGCTTAAAGGCACACAGATAAATCCTGTGTTTTAACAGGGATAAATCCTGTGTTCCATGCTCACTGTGCTGCTGTCTGCCCTGGAAGCAAAGCATGCCCTCAACATTTCTGGATGGTTGCAAAATGCTAAAGAGGTCCTTCCTCAACTCTGTGTTGAAATGTGAGAATGGCCCTGGGCTTCTGCTTGGCTTTCTCCCTCCCCCTTCTCCCTGCCTATTCAAGTTCTACCCACCTCCCTTGTGCTACTTAAGAGCTAACTTCCCACCTGAAGCCCTTCGCTTCACCCCTTATCACTCTTAGCTTTCCCTTCCTTTGGCAGGTAAACTTGGGGCTGGGTTTACTGGTCACAGAGACCCACCACCCTCAAAAAAGCAAAATTCAGGGAAGCCCTAGAGGTAGAGCTGCTGGTAAGAGCCAAGGGTTGATTACATACATACGCCAAATTCTTAATGACTATGTAATTAATACATGATAACAAGAAATATATAAGTATGAGGAGCTGTGGTGGCTCAGGCCAGTTGTCCTGGCACATAAGGAAGTGAGTCTAGGCATTTGAGGCCAGCCTGAGCAACACAGAAACCTCTCATCCATTAAAAACAAAACCAAAACAACTGGATGTGGTGGCTCATGCCTGTAATCCCAACACTTTGGGAGGCTGAGGTGGGCAGATCACGGAGTCAGGAGGTCAAGACCGGCCTGACCAACATGGTAAAACCCCATCTCTACTAAAAAAAATAAAAATAAATAAAAAATTAGCTGGGTGTGGTAGTGTGCACCTGCAATGCCAGCTACTCAGAAAGCTGAAGCAGGAGAATCACTTTAACCCAGGAGGTGGAGGTTGCAGTGAGCCAAAATCTTGCCACTGCACTCCACCCTGGGTGACAGAGCTAGACTGTCTCAAAAAAAAAAAAAAGATAGTACTATGTGCTAGGCATTCTGCCTGGCACTTTCATGCTCCCCACAGATAGTAAGAGCATCCAAAGATATTCTAGTGCCTCTCCCACCACAGTGGGTCCCCCACCCCCATTCACTGTCTAGAAGACAGCAGCCTGCTCCCCTCCTCCCAGGATCTCACTACTGATACAGGGGCCATCCTCTGGACCCTAGGCATGGCTTTGCTCCTCAGAATGACAAGACCAAAGGCCTTTCATAAAGACTCCAATGAGGTGACTGATGTCTGGCTTCGTCAACTACAAGTGAGTAATTAATTCTTGCCAGTATAGAAATAAGACTCATTGTTATGGTGGCCACATGCAGGCTACAAAAGGCCATTTTGTGGCACTCTTGGTGGACTCCTGGGACCAACAGTGGTCAAAAGAACCGGGATGAGAGTGTAGTCCTATCCTTAAATGGGGGGACTGTGGCCACCTGTACTGTTTTCCAGGCGTGCTGTTCCTGCTAATTAGCTTGTTACCTAGTCATCATCTCATTCAGCTTTCTGGTTGATGACAGCTGCAGAGGCCCACTGAACATCGGAGACGCAGTGATTTATCAGAGGGGACACATAGTGTTCTCCTGGGGCCTTTTACCAGTTTTTGAATTCATGTCTACTTTCTTCTCTGGGCCAGCGTTTGATATAAGTAAAACTCTCCAACCCCACTGGGCTGTACATCTGACTCTTGGCCTAATGCCTAAAGCAAGTTTTTTCTTTTTCATTTTCCAGCAGGGACTAAACAAGGCAGCCCTGGGTGCCTACAGAACCGGTCAGAACTGGCCAGGAAATATAATAAAGAAGCTTAGTGAGCAAAGAGCTAATGCCCCAGCCAGAGGCTCAGTGTGTAGAACTAGCTAGTGGCACTGCCTTTGTAAGCAACAACACTCTCTTCTTGAGGTCTAATCATTGCCTTGGCAAAGGGCAGCCAATGCCAACGAGTTAACCCTGTGTACCCAAGTTTCACATCCTGAAAGTGGACACCGGGTGCTCAACAAATGCCTTCTGGTGGCAGTAACCCCTGACCAGTTAAACATGCACTCAGACACATGCATGCACACACACACCCTTACAGCATTCCTGCCCGCAGGGCCAAAGCTGCCCTTGCCAAATACAGAGCTGACAGCTGCTAGATATTGCCATTTCAGGGACCTGTTCCCGAAAGAACTACCCAGCTCTCCACCTCCACTTCCAGGCCCACTGTTTGAAATTCCACCATTAGTGACAGCAAGTATTTTCTAATTGTTTCTCATTAAAGCTTTGTTTCCCATTAAAATGCCTCCATCCTGTTTCTTTTCCGGTCAAATGACTTGTAAAGCACCTGCTCAGCATCAAATGGGAACTACTTCTTCGGTATTTAGATCTTCAAGATAAACACAGTCATTGGCTCCTTTCTTGAAAACAATTTCTGACACTGGAGAATGGGGGAAGGGCAGGACACTGTATGGAAGTGGGGATGGGAGGCCACCAGGAAGGCCACAGAGCGAGGGTCTAATGGTGGAGAAAACAACCGCCGGGCCTGCCCATAGACACGGACCTAGATTTTTGCCCTCTAAGATCTGAGAGCCCCAGGTTGCTGGCACAGCCTGTATCCAAAAGTAAGGTGAGACCCACTGACCTAACTGGGACACAGACAGGAGGTAGAAAATGGGAACACAGAAACCAACACTCTCCAGATTTGTCCCTCCTGCCTGCAGGACTGCCACCATCTCCCTGCCCATGCTGAGGGCACAGGCACCCAGGAACTAGCAGAAAAAGATCCTTGTCCCATTCTTGGCCTAGCTGGAAGGACAGCTGATGGCTCATCAGCCCTGGTGAGTGGTTCCACTGCGCTGGGGAAAGTAGGCAAGCAGAAGTCGACGTCAGATTCCCTGGGCTGGGGAGGCACAGGGGCTGTCAGTGTCGTTTCTAGCTGGGTTCTGGGTATAAAGAGCCATGCTTCTGTGGGCCATGCTACCTGCCCCCATCCCCAAGCAGAGAGCACCTCCTCCTCTTCTTTTGCACATAGGTGCGCTTTTCTTTGGGGTGAGGGGTAGGACTGTCCCGAAAAGCAGACGCCACAACAGACAGGTAGGCATCTTCCTGGTTCTTCAGAGCGAAAAAAAAACAACCTTTTCCCGAAGGAGTCAGCCCACTCATCCCCTTCCCCCACCTCCATCCTACCCGCAGCCAGCCGGGAGAGCGATGCTAGTGTAAGCCAGAAAGCTTCCAAGCGGGTCTGACCTGCTCCTCTCGCGTCAAAGCCCTCCGCCCCCAAACATCGCCGCTGCGCCCCTCGCCCCACCCATCACACGTTCTGTGTGGCCGAGGCGGCTGCCAGGCGGGCCCAGGCGGCTCTCGCTGGCCCTGGGAGAGGTGACGGTGGTCTCGGCGGCAGAGGCGGGGGCCAGCGCTCTGCAGTACCTGGAGCAGAGGATATCGCCGCCGCCGGGCTCGGGGCCACTGCAGGTGTCTCTGGTCTCTGAGATTAGCACCGCCTCCTCCCGGGCTGGCGGCTCCGGCCCAGGCCGCGCACCTGCTGCTGCGGCTCCCCAGCCGCCTCGCCGGAGCTCCGCGATGCGCCCGCGCCTCCCGGCCAGAGGGTCCGGACCGCGGGACGCCGGGTGGGCCCGAGGGGGAAAGGGGCCGCGTGGGGCCTGAGGCCCGGCCTCGAGCTAGCCAGGGCGCAGCGCCGAGCGCCCCCCGCGGGCCGGGAGAGGGGGCGGCCCCTCGCGCATCCTCACGGCCTCATCCCGGTCCCAGTGCCGGGCCCGAGGCCTGCGAGCGCCGCTTACCTGGCTCTGCAGCGCGGTCCAGGGGAGGGGCCCTAAGCTACCGCAGGGCCCCGCGCCGGGGCGCAGGATGCTCTGCCCCGCTCCGCTGCGCCGCGCTCGGCCCCGCCCCGGCTCCGCCCGCCCCGGCCCCGCCCCCGCCCGGCGCCCGCCCCTTCGCCGCTGCGGCTGTCACACAAAGGGCAGGAAATGGCTGCGGCGAGCCCTTCTCCGCGCTGCGCGCTGTACCGCCGGCGCGCCCGGGACCTGCAACCCGGGCTCGGAGGACCGCTCGGCACCCAGGCTTCCTGCCCTGGGGGCGGGAAAGGGAGGGAGGGCTTCTTCCACGGCCTCCATCACCGGGAGCCACACCTGCAGCTACCCGAGGACGAGAGCTTCGGCCGCGTTCGGATCTCATTGGCCCCACGTGATTTCCAAGTGCTCGTTTATCAACCCAATCTTTATTGATTGCCTATTCTGTTCCGAGGATCGTGCTAGGACCTGGGTGTGCAGTGGTGTATAAAAGACATGGTCCCTGCCCCCTTGAAGTTTGTCACCTGCCAGGAGAGACGGGTGTAAGTTAACCTAGCAAATGTCCAGTTACAGTCCATAGTGCTGTGAGAAGGACCAGGGTGAAGTGACAGAAGATGCAACTGGGGCTAGGGAAAGGGACCTTCCACCAGTTGAGCCTGCTCCCTGATGGGGCTCCTTTGCTCAAGAATAACTTCTTCCGCTCCCTTCTAGTTGGCTGGAGAAGAGTCCCTGAAGCTGCCACCTCTTTAACAGGGGCCTGCCTCAACTTCGTTCTGGAAGAATTGCGTAACGGACAAATAGGTGACAGGAAGCACTGAGAGAACAGGAACCTTTGTCTTCAAGGCTTATCTGCCGTTTCCGGCTCTTTAAAGAAACAATTATCTGACCTGCGGTGGCTCACACCTGTAATACCAACACTTTGAGAGGCTGAGACCAGAGGATCGCTTGAGCTCAGGAAATAGAGACCAGCCTGGGCAACTCAACGAAACCTCATCTCTACTAAAAATAAAAAATAAAAATAAAAAAAGATGGGTGTGGGGACATGAACCTGTGGTCCCAGCTACTCAGGAGGCTAAGGTGGGAGGATTGCTTGAGACTGGGAGATTGAGGCTGCAGTGAGCTATGATCCCACTGCTGGACTACAGCCTGGGTGACAGAGTGAGACTCTCAAAAATGAATGAATAAATAAATAAATAAACAAATAAAAGAAAAAACAGAGGAAAAGAAAGAAACAATTCTCATTGAGATGCAGCCTGGTAGGCCAAAGAAAGAAAGAGAAAGAAAAGAGAGAAAGAAACCGTTCTCATTGAGATGCAGCCTTGGTAGGTGAAAGAAAAGGAAAAAAGGTAAAGAAAGAGAGAGAAAAAAGAAAGGAAAAGGAAGAAAAAAAGAGAAAGAAACAATTCTCACTGCGATGCAGCCTGGTGGGCCTTCAGACCGGGCTGAAGGCAGGTTGCACCAAATTCTAACCTTGAGACACCTGAGCAAGTCACATCTCCACTCTGCTCCACAGAGGTCTCCGTATCTGCAATACAGTGAATAACAGTTGCCCTTTGTACCTTACAGGGTAAATAATTTGAAAGCATTTGAGACATAAGGAATGGTTTCCTAGGGCCCACAAATGTATACTTAATCATTCAGCTATTCCTAATAAGGGTGATTTACAGAGAAGCCTCATTATTCAAGCCCTAGCAAAGGATTTATGGAAGCCTTTGCTTGCCCCTACTGATCTCACCTTATGTCCCAAGTTCTCAGAATCCATGATTCCTTATGGTTTGATCTTAAGTCTCTAATTCCAATTCAAATTGCTATATCAGAAAAAAAAATGACATATATATACATACATTTCTGTCCCTGGTGCTGTGTGAAAAGCTGTGGGGGTGTTTGTGGAGAATGGGTTTAAAAACAGAACCGAGGTTTCCTTTTTTAAAAATGTTTCATTTTCCACCATGATCCTTGGGATTTCAAGTGTTAGTGATTACAAATATTAACAATGAGAATCCCAATAAGTCATGTTTTCATTCTACGGGGCATATTATTTCAGACATTGTAGTTTTCGGAAGATGCATTTCTCCCTGTTGTTCCTTCCCTGTCTTTTCACCTTCAGGAACAAGTTGCCTGAAAACAGAAAAGACTATTACATATATATTTGGTTAGATCTTAGGCAAAAGCAACTCCCTGACCTCTGAGTTTTATTTGCGTGCTAAGGAGAGTAGTGTGGTCTTTTGAAGCCACTGTGTTGGAAATCCAGAGGCTTGCCTTTTGGTCCTAATTTTGCAACTAACAGAAGAATGATGTTAGGCAAGGAGTTTCACCCCTGTTTCCCCACCTATTAAATGAAGTAGGTTGGATGCACTCCAACTCCCCTCTGAAAGTGGAAAATGACATGAGTTAGAAAGAAGGACATGCGCCTCCCAGGTTTAAGGCGCTTCCGTAGCTCCCCACCACCCTCTGGATGAAGTGCATACTCTCTTCAGTGGCCTGGGAGGGTCTTCAAGAGCTGGCCGCTATCTCTCCATGTGAACAAGCTTGCTGCACTTCAGCTAAAAGGAACAGCTTTTAGTTCCTCAAAGTTGCTGTGTTCTCTGTTGTGTCTGACATTTGTACATGCAGGGCTCCTTGAATCACTCTTTCTGTCCCGGCATTCCCTCCACGTTCCACAATTTTTCCCAGTTTACCTGATGAAGTTCTGTTCACCTACTGGTATGCCTTTAGATGTCACTTCCTCCAAGATTCCTACGTGTCTGGGTTAGCTTGAGATGAGTTGTCTATGTGCCCTTAGCTGCCTGGCCTCCCTCTATCATCTAACTTACTATTCTGTGTTGTGATTGTCAGTACACTTGCCTGTATTCCACCATGAGACTATAAAATCTAAGGGAGCAGGGATATGTCTGTCTTGCTTTCCCACTGAGTCCCCAGAGCCTGGTACTTAACAGGAGTTCAGTGAAAATGGATGGAATGAACACCCATAAGTGAAAATTTTAAACTTTGCCATTGTCATGTGTAGCTGTCTGTCTAGTGCCTTCAGATTTCTTTCACATCCAACCCCAAGCTGTGCCATCAGCAATGAAATGGTAGAGGTTATCGGTTAGAATTGCTTTGCGATTTGCAAAACTGTGGCCCACGTGTTGTCCATGTGGTAACATTGCCTTGAGTTTTAGAAAATCTTCAAGTTACTTAGAGTATCGAGATCTCTATTTTAAAACTATCAGCAGATGCTGCTTCATAGACGCCAGTAATGAAGTATCTGGAATAGGCATGAAAGGAAAACATAAATAATAGTAATAATAATAATAATAATGGCTAACATTTACCAAGTTCATTACCTCACTTAATTTTTCACAATTTTTCTATGAGGAAAATAATTTTTCCCATTTTTGTAACTGAAGCAACTAAGGTTTAATAATTTGTCCAAGGTAGTGAAGTCAAACCCATGCTCTTTACCACAATCTCATACAGCTTCATTTCCCCCTTCCAACCTAAGTCAGTGTGTTTACTGATATGCTACCTTATTCCAAAAACATATTAAATGTAAGTTATAGGAATACGTTACATTAAAAAATTAAAAATCAGCAAGAAATTTTTAAAAAGGAAGGAAAAGGGTGCCAAGACGAGATGGAGAATAAAATATGCATAAGACCAAAAACGAAAACAAAACCGCAAGAGCAGTCACAAATCTACGTGCTATGAGCTTGCTAGCACATTTGGTTCTGAGCGTTTATGTGGATGGCAGGAAGAGAGAAACTTGATGGGCAGTTACATAATTTACACTGGCCATTCTGTAGACAGAACCTGACCACTTTTGCTCAAAATTGCCTCATTTTATAGATCAAGGAACAGAGGCCCAGGAAGCAGAAGGGTTGGCCAAGTCTGGCCAGACCCAGACCACAAGACTTTCCCTAGGAAACTGGGTTGCCTATCTCTTTCTTTGTATTCTAAAGTAATTTGTTAAGGCATATATTTGAAACGAACATTTACTAAAGGTTTCTTTGAGGCGAGCCTCTATGTTAAGGATGTTACATGGATGGGTTCATTTCATCCTCACAAAATTCCAAGAAGTAGCCCCTGTTATTTTATAGATAGAAACTTAAGGACTGTTTTGTGGTGGCATCATTGCAGCTCTACGTCGGGCGGCTTGGCAATGCATACCCTCTATTCCCTGCTATATTTCTCTCATTTTCCACAACTTCTGAAGACCTGGCCTCTCTTGAAGGTCAGATCTTTTACACATAACTTGATAGCAAATAACATTTCATCTTTATTGAAACAAATACAATTTACAATAATTTTAGATAAGAGCTGATGAGGGACTGAGCATATTCTGAACTGGATTTGGAATGCAACAATGTAACTGAAGTACAATGGGTCAATGCTGCTGTACTCTTGGAGGGTAGTGTAAGTGGCCCTAAAATCAGTCCCACAGAATGCTTGGGAGCATTGGAACTTGGAGATAGTTAGGTCCGGCCTCAAGCCCCCATTCTGGTTCTTAATAATTGTGGGACTATGGGTCATTTCTCTGATCTACTGAGCCCTATACTTCTCATCTGTAACGCTGAGTTGATAATAATTTTACCTATTTCGGCCAGTCGCAATGGCTCACACCTGTAATCCCAGTACTTTGAGAGGCCAAGGCAGGTGGATCACTTGAGGCCAGGAGTTTGAGAGCAGACTGGCCAATATGGCAAAACCTGGTCTCTATTAAAGATACAAAGAATCAGCTGGGTGTGGTGGCACATGCCTATAATCCCAGCTATGTGGGAGGCTGAGGCATGAGAATAGCTTGAGCCTGTGAGGTAAAGGTTGCAGTGAGCCGAGATGATGCAGCTACATTCCAGCCTAGGCAACAGAGCAAAACACTGTCTTAAAACAAAACAAAACAGTATAACCCTTAGGTTCTTGTGACAATTAAATGAAATTTTAACATAACATACTAAACAGAGTCTGGTATATAATAAATGCTCAAAAATGGGGTTCTAATTCTAATTTTTTTTTTTTTTTTTGAGACAGAGTCTCCGTCACTCAGGCTAGAGTGCAATGGCACAATCTCAGCTCACTGCAACCTCCGCCTCCCAGGTTCCGTTCTTCCTGCCTCAG